TCAAAAAAAAAAAAAAAGTCATCAAGGTAGAAAACAACTTATCAATATAGTGTTTAAAACACTAACAGTTTTCCAAAGAAAGTGAAATTATGGCAAGCTCAAATTAAGGGAAACAATTTAATGCATTTTGGCTAGCCATAGTCCTATGAACAGCAACAAATATACAGTCTCAATTTTCAATTTGATGCAAGAATTTGAAAACAGCTTTTAAGATTTCCAGGAAAATAATATTTTGGTGCATTTGAAACTCCATTTTCAATCGACATAAGTATATTACCTGCCAGTCTCCAAATGGAGTGCACAGAGATGCTCTGATATTCCACTTAAAGAAAAATTTGATTATGTCTTTTTGCTGGACTCTTATAGGTCCTAACTTCCCAGAGACAAATACCCTTCACTTGACAATCACACATTGCTCATGTTATCACTTTTCGGCAGTACCTACACTTGCGAGCAACTGTTTTCAAGAATGAAGCACAGTACGCATAAAATCAGAACCAGAATATCTGATGATCCACCCAACCAGATACTGATGCCTAGTTTCTCAGATACAATGTCAAATGCTCCACTAGTTTCATGTTGCCCACTTTTCCTTTACTTTTATAATAGAAAGTGTCCCAAGAAAGACATTTTATTACTTAGATGTGTACATTTTCTGTGTCAGTAATCACAAACTTTGGACCTGCTCCATGATTTGAAGAAACTGAATAAGCTGCTGCATAATTAGGATGTGTTATGTGAGAATGTTAGTGCTTATCTGTGGTGGTGGATATTATAAAAACTCTGAATGACCCTTTTTTTAATGTTCATCAGCTTTTGTCAGTGTTCATGTATTTAATGTGTGGCCCAAGACACCTTTTCATCTTCCACTGTGGCCTAGAAAAGCCAAAACATTGAACACACCTGGTTTAAAATATGATATATGCTGTTTTAATGAGTTTGGAAGAAAAGAGAAAGAAATATGATATAAAAATTTAGACCTAGCTGAGCGTGGTGGCTCTTGCCTGTAATCCCAGCACTCTGGGAGACTGAGGTGGGTGGATTTCCTGAGCTCACAGGTTTGAGACCAGCCTGAGCAAGTGTGAGACCCTGTCTCTAGAAATAGCTAGGTATTGTGGCAAGTGCCTATAATCCCAGCTACTTGGGTGGCTAAGACAAGAGAATCGCTTGTGCCCAAGAGTTTGAGGTTGCTGTGAGCTATGAGAAGCTACAGCACTCTACTGAGGGCAACAAAGTGAGGCTTTGTCTCAAAAAAAAGAAAATTTAGAGCTTATAAGAAGCTGTTGAAAATATAGGAAAATAAAATTTGTGACATTTAGAAATAGGGTAGTATAAATGTAAGCCATGTGCAGTGGCTCACGACTGTGATTCCTGTGCTTTGGGAGAGGCCAAGGCAAAGGATTCCTGGGTCCAAGAGTTGGAAACCAGCCTAAGCAGCATAGCAAGACCCTGTCTCTACAAAAAAAAAAAAAAAAAAGAAAGAAAAATTAGCTGGGTGTGGTGGGACATGTCTGTAGTACTGCTACTGGGAGACTGAGGCAGGAGGAGGAGGATCCCTTGAGCCCAGGTGTTAGAGGCAGCAGTGACCCTAGGTGACAGAGCAAGACCCTGTCTCAAAAGAAAAAAAAGATTATATAAATGTAGATTTCAGTTTAATAATTATTGAGATCTTTATGTGTTATTGCTACAAAGATAATTGCCATGGGAGACAAAGGCACAGAAGAACATTTGGGAGTAGTCTAAAGGAACAGTATCCTGGCAGTGGTTCATACCTGTAATACCAGGAGGTGAGGTAGGTAGATTGCTTGAGTTCAGGAGTTTGAGACCAGCCTGAATAAGAGCAAGACCCCATCTCTACTAAAAACAGAAAAACTAGTCAGGTGTTGTGGTGCACACCTGTGGTCCCAGCTACTTGGGAGGCTAAAGCAAGAGAACCACTAAAGCCCAAGATGAGGCTGCTGTGAGCTATGATGATGCCATGGCACTCTAGCCTGGGTGACAGAGTGAGACTGTCTCAAAAACAAACAAACAAAAAAAGGAATGGTCTGCTAACCTGGCTTAAGGTCAGTTGGTACGGGAGGATTAGGCAGGGTTGAGTGTGTTGGACAGTGAGCACTGCCTGGGGAGGTGGCCCTGTCCATGAGAGGCTTTGGTGGCTGGCGGGTTTGGCTGCTCACCCAGCTTGTGCTGTGGCAGGCACCTGAGGGCTGATTCCCGGTCCTCACTGGGAGAGGACAGAAGCTGCACTTTGGAAAGGTGAAGCCATATTTTCTGTGTGAGAGGCAGAAAGCAGGGACTTTAGAACATCCCTCAGCTCTGAGCTCATGAAATGGAGGCAAAACCACTAAATTAAGCAGTTTGAGAGAGAGGCCACCACATGAGCATGGGGTGAGGGCAAAAACATACTTGGCCGTGTCAGGCATCTGCTACCTTTGTTGCTTTTTGGTTTTCAGATAAAACAAAAAATTGATAAAATTTGAATGTGCCACTGATTCTCATTTTCCAGAATTCTAATATGTAGTCTTCTCTGGTTTGTGTTGTAAGAAATCTCATTGCCTTCTCGGAAGACGGCTCTGACCCATACGTACGCATGTATTTATTACCAGACAAGAGGCGGTCAGGAAGGAGGAAAACACATGTGTCCAAGAAAACGCTGAATCCAGTGTTTGATCAGAGGTATATCACCTTCCCTGGGCTGGGTTGCAGTGCCTGTGCTGCCGAGAAGTGGGGGAAACCACTGATTCAGCAAACGTGTATTTGTCAAGATTAATAAATGAGCATTTTGAACTTCAAGTCAATGCGCTGAAGTGATAAGCCCAAGTTACAGGGAGACCAGTGAGTCACTAAAGATCAGATTAGTAATGTCCCCACAGAACTCATTTTAGGGGGCTACATTTGTTGATATTTTCTGTGCTATAAATTAAAACTGAGAATTTAAGTATACATATATTTTAAAATAATACGCTCATAATATATAATATTTTTATGAAAACAACTATAATTTTCAAAGCAATAGAAAAAGCGAGTAAAACCAATGATAATTGTTTGACTTTTTTGCAATCCCATTAGTAGTCTGGCCTAATAAAGCCTGGAATCTGCTTCTCTGGTCAGCCTGGTGTCTTAAAGGCTTCATGTCTGGATCATGCCTATAGTCCCAGCTACATACTACATAGGAGGTTGAGGCAGGAGGGTCACTTGAGGCCAGGAGTTGAAGACCAGCCTGAGCAATAGCAAGACCCCATTTTCACAAAAAAATTTTTTTAATTAACCAGGCGTGGTAGCACCTGTAGTTATAGCTACTGAGGCTAAGGCAGGAGGATCTCTTGAGCCCGGGAGTTGAAGGCTGCTGCAAGCTGTGCTGGCACCACTGCACTCCAGCCTCAGTGACACAGCTGGAATTTAAAAAAAGCACCTACTGATCTATACATTTGAGATCTTAAATTATCATCCTCTGGTAGCCTAAAATCCCACATTTTGGGAAAATAATAAAGTTGGATGGCATCACTATCTATTAATTCAGTTACATTTTCTCTGTAAACGTGCTGCTCATTTATTTTACAAGTAATTTTATTTAAGCCGGAAGTCAGGAAACTGGCAAGCAGGCACCAAATCCCAATGTGGGTATGTCTTGTTTGACAATGTTCTTACTTAGTCACAGCATTCAGAAATTTGGAGACTCCACATGCCAGTTTGTTTTCTAGCTACTGTAGCTTTGGGTGGTAACTGCCCAGGCCATCCTGGGCAGGATAGAGCGGGTCCCACGTAGGACCGGCAGTGAGTTTGCAGCATCTGACTTAAGCTGCTAGTGAATACATGGGCCTCCTGTGAAGCTACAAGCACATACTCCTTTATTGAAGACAGTGGGCCAGGGCCTGGTGGCTGAAGGAGAGTGATTCCGGGGCCTGAGTGAGTAAACTTCTCTTGAGCTGGGATTCTGTCCTGTGTTGCCCCATGAGGAGTCAGAAGTGTATGTTCACCTCTCACCCATCCACAAGTGAGCCACCAGCATACCTAGGATGCCCATGTCCCCTCTCATGTTGGGAATTAATGAAAATAACTTGGACCCATCCCTGGCCAAAAAAACAACTGCAGGCTTGGTGCCTGTGGCTCAGGTGGCTAAGACGCCAGCCACATACACCTAAGATGGCGGGTTCGAATCTAGCCCGGGCCGCCAAACAACAATGACGGCTACAACTAAAAAATAGCCGGGTGTTGTGGCAGGCGCCTGTGGTCCCAGCTACTTGGGAGGCTGAAGCAGGAGACTAGCTTGAGCCTAGGAGTTAGAGGATGCTGTGAGCTGTGATGCCATAGCACTCTACCCAGGGGGACAGCTTGAGGCTCTGTCTCAAAAAAAACAATTGCATACACACACAAAAAAACAGAATTAGTTATAAGGAAATACAGCAGAATTATGGAGAATGTCAAGTAGGGCCTTCTTTTCCCATTTCAGCTTTGACTTCAGTGTCTCGTTACCTGAAGTGCAAAGGAGAACGCTGGATGTTGCAGTGAAGAACAGCGGTGGTTTCCTGTCCAAAGACAAAGGGCTTCTCGGCAAAGTAAGTTTTTAAAACGATTGGCTTTTACACTTAGTAAAAATTAAACACTTACCTAAAGTACAGTGGGTTATCCTCTTCCAAATATATGGGAAGGGCTTAAGTTTGTGATTAATGCTTGTTTATAAATCGTGGGCTATAAATACAGTCAATAAGACCTCAGTACATCCTAAAGACATTTGAAATTACTGGCTTGATGCTCATGCTAATGCCATGATTTCTACTCAAAGAAGAAGTGATTCTTAAGTCTTTTAATTTTTGTTCAAGCACATCCTCTTACAGCCCAGCTCCTCAGCTGATGACTCTGCTGGTTTGCTGACAAATTTTTGGCTGTGTTTCTGTGGATTTCTTCTAGTACATGTCCATGTTCACGTGTAAATTCTGGCTCGGCGCCTGTGGCTCAAGTGGCTAAGGCGCCAGCCACATACACCTAAGGTGGCGGGTTCGAATCCATCCTGGG